CATTTGACCTTCTGGGACTCTCTGATCTTCTGGGTTCCAGCTTAGCTGGGACTGCAGCTTGAATCCTAGTTAACACGGGGCTGTTTGTGCAACATTTCTGGCCTGGCTACAAACAGAAAGTACCAGAGGTCTCATCAGCACACCTGTTTGCATGTGAATTCCAGCTTAATCCTGTCAGCCCAAGAGGTCTGGATCATAGCAAGCCTGTGCCCTGCCTTGACATCTCCCAGCTCAGCCCTTCAAATTGCTTTACCAGCATTAATGCATGTAGCCTTAATCCCTAATGGGGAGGTCTTCCTAGTAAATCTTATCGTCAGGGATCCTGGTTTTCTCTGACTAAAAAAAAAAATCACAAATTCTTTCATAAATTGTAAATTCTCTTATTAAACCCCCCAAATCAGTGATTAAAATGGAATGCCAATAAATACACATACATATAGAGGGGGGGGTGTGTGTATATGTATGCATGTAGGGGGTGTGTATGTGTGTGTGTATATATATATGTGTGTGTGTGTGTGTGTGTGTATATATGTATATAGGTATCAATTGAACACAATGTTTTATAGATATACTTGCAGTTTAAAAGCAGTTTGGAAGCCTACCAGTGCCTCAAGCATTATCATAAAATAAATTCTAAATACCTATACATTTTGGTATTTGATTTTGAGTTTCTTACCATGGAAAATCAGAGCTCCCCCTGCCCCCTGCACTCTCAGAATTGCTGGTGCCAGATCTGTGCGTGGGGTGGGGGCGGAGGCAGGCATAGGCTGCCCACGGTGGGCTCGGGCTCGGGCTCCCTGCCCTGCTGCCCTCCCGTGGGGCCTCGGACTCTGCCAGCCTGCAGAGAAAGTGCAAAATCCACGTGTTTCTCTGTTAAAATGAGAGATCTGCACGTTTCTCAGGTAAAAGGGGAAATCCGCATTTTTCTCTGCTTTTCCTTAGGAAATGGAAAACCTGGATCCCTGCTTATCATAGAGACGGGCTGGGACACAAAGTTTAGCTCAAAGTTTCTAATAAAGTTTGAGGGGCTTTAGAGCTGGGTTGGACACGTTTTGTTCCTGAGGTTCACACAAGTCTCTTTTCTGTGTACCAAGAGCTTGGGCAGCTTGTCTTCAGCCTGAAAGGCTTTACCCTTCACTCGGGGTATAGATAATAGAGTGGCTTCCACTGGTTTCACGGTACTTTGTATTTCCTTCATCCTCTGCTGTCACGTTCTGCTCTCCTCCCCCCTCCTCACCACTGCAGCTTTCAGAACAATATTGGAGATCATTTTTGGCACATCGTGACGTGGCTGCCACCTTTTCTGAAGTTTTTAACCTTTTCATTTTGTTTCTAACAAAATCTATTCAAAACAACCTAATGAACATTCAGAGACTGAGACCTAGTCTGAGCCGGTATGTTGAGTTTCTGGACGGTGCCCAAGACTGAATCCATTATCTAAGTGGCCGTTGCATCATCAGAGCTTGTGCCAGGGTCACGTCCGAGTGAAATGAATTAAGTGAGCACTGATTGCAACGAGCTGTGGATCCTGCTATTGTATTCAATTTACTCTGACACGCAGCATCTGAGGCTAGTCTGCCCCAGCTCACATTCAGCGCTTCCCCTTAACAGCAGCTGGAAAAAAGGGACTTTGAATCGTTTTTGATTAAAACACTAGGCTTGGGCTTAGGAGATCTGGTTTGAAGTCCCAGGCCTGCCACAAGCAGATGGCATCACTTCGGGCAAGTTACTTAATCTGTCTGCGTAACGGTTCTGCAATGGGGGAAATGGCAACAATAATAATGATAATAATAATGTTTCCTAACCTCAGAGGGGAGTGTGGGGGTAAGCAGTTCACAGGCACTACGACACTGTAAGGGAGAAGGCCAGAGAAGTATCTAACAAGAGGAAACTGAGAACATGCTGTCCCATTGCACAACCTTTGGATTTGATACGATTCCCCTGGGCAGAGGCGGAAGAGTTAGGTGGTTCTTCTGCTGGACCTAGATTCTTCCCTGGAGGGTCCACTGTTTTGCCCACGTCGGCTTACGGTGACACAACCGGTGGGGTTTCCATCACAACTTCTGTCTTTCAAAATGGGAACTGCTGGATGCTGAGCAGTCTTGAAAAGTCTCGTTGTTCTGCATCAGTTCTGGATCAAACCTCATCATGTAGCCACGTCTTTGCAATGTCTCATAACTAAATTCTGGGTACAGAGCCAAATTTCTTCAAAACTGGGACTCTTAAAAGGTAGAGGGGTCCAATCTATGCTGAACTGGGGCCCCGGTGCATGGATTTTGGATAGGTTCAGCTGAAGAAGCTGCGGTCAGTGAGCCGTGGCCAGCCTTCCTGGATCGCTGCTGGATGGAGCAGCGGGACGTCGCTAGCACTGAGAGGCCAGAGTTACAAAAGCACTTGAACCTGCATGAACCGCGGCAGTTCAGAAATGCTGAGTGTGGCCTTGTTGGCATTGTGCTTAGCATTTTGTCCTGACAAAACACCGACACACGAAAAACATTGATTAGAAAACCCAACTGTGTATTTAGCCATTACCAGACTGTCATCACCAGCTGCTGAGTGATTTATATCCAGAACAGGGCACTTTCCTTTGGTTTCTCTTTCATGTGGTGTTTCCATGACAAAGTGCCTCTTTTTTGTTTTAATCCCAAGGGCATAAGCGGCTCACAGACACAATGACAAATTGCACCAGCTAAAACCTGGGGGAGGTCCCGACGTCTTGAAATTAGTGGTGTTTTCCACTCGCCCGTAGGTCTGTGGGATGCTGCATGAGGCATCAGCCAGACTATCGGGGGCTGTTTGTAAGGAATAGGATGTAGCCCGTTATTCCAGAGAGGTTTGGAGGCTGCCGTGTGCTTAGAGAACAGCCTGCAGAAGAGGCAACAGGAAGCTTATTGGCACAAACCCCTTTTAGGATTCATCTCTGGTGGATGAATAGGAGCTCTGGGGTCTGTAGCAACAGATGTGACCCATGTCGTGGGGTTGTGCTCTAAGGGGGAGCTGGAAGAAAGTATGATTCCTAAGTAAATCCTGTCTATTTTGTAATGAAATTTAGACCCAAAGCAGCAACGCCCACTGATTAGAAGAACACTTAAGCAGGTGCTTGCAAAGTCCGCATGACTTGCACTCCTGTCTGCGTGCCTTCCTGAACAGGCCTGTGGCCTAAGCATATGCTGATGTGCTTTCCATAAAGAGGTGTGTAAATTCAAACCTGGATGTACAACTGCTCAGTGTCTTCTAAAGATTAGTTGTCCAATTGCTTCTCCCCTGTTTCCAGCTCATCCTGACCTGGCCCTTCCTTTCACTCAGACTGCACTGTTACAGGAAGCATAAGCCGAGTTTGAACGTGACCTGTTGAAAACAGCTGTCGTGGCATCTTGTCCCAGATGGAGGATGTGATGCAGAAGATCTGAGTGATCCCATCACCTGTCTGTTGGTTAGCACAGGTAGAGAGAGAGCTGTCTTTCTCTGCTGGATTTAATCAGCTTTTGATTCGTGTGCATCACCTCACAGGAACTTGGACATGTCTTGGAATAAGCTTCCCCCTTTTCTGTGATTTGTGTCAAAGCTCAGTACCTTTTGGAGTGGATTGAATAGCAGAGCTAAGCACTCGGAGACGCATGCTAACACCTCCGCTCCGGCCATTATATACACAGCATTTGTCTTAAATTGTTACTCAGAAAAATAGATTGAGGTGTTATGCAGCATTTCCATGTGTGCCTGCAGCCAATTTGTCAGGACCCATATTGCTCCTTGGTTAATTTAATATTTATAATATCCTTATCTGTCCCATCCCGTTCAGATGATTTCTGGGGCGAAGTGGTAAATTGTGTTCCATAAATTACACTGTATGAAATATGCAGCTCCCAGCTATGTCGGAGTATTCAGATCATAGGAGTGGACGTGGAGTCGGTAGTAATTGGATGGCCCTGCTGGATAAGGCATGACATCCTAGTAAGCATTCCTGCCCCGCTCGTTCTGATGCGGAAGAAAATATAAAACACTCGGTGGGAATTACCAGCGGCAGCCCTCAGAGCCTCGAAGGACAGTGTCTTCAGGGATGTGCTTCTCCTCTTAAATGTGTGCTGTTTCTTGGGTCGATATTTCATGACCAGAGACTTGAGAAGTGTTGTGAGACGCCCCTTATATTGAGTGAGGTGACATAACCCCCCTACTCCAGGGGTCGGATGGCAGTGAACAGACTTCCACGTGGAGCTTGGCATGGTTAATGAAGCTCATGCCGGTTTCCCCTTTCCCCTGCTATCTGCAGCGGCTGGGATTAGTCTTGCCTCTTTCTTAATCTTTGTGTTAGCCTGTTCTCCAAACCGCACGTAACGTGATGGCTCTGCTTCGAGAGGGTTGCTGGAAAGGTTAATAAGTGGCCAGGTAGATGGTACAGGCATGGGGAGCGTGAGTGATACAGCGGTTCTGCGTACAGCTATACGCAACCTGTCGACCGGCTGGGGGTTTCATGGTCTAGACCTATGCAGAAAGCTGTTGCATAAAAGATCGGTTTAGCCTTTATGAGCTGTTTTTAGGCGGAAGTTCAGCAGAAAGAGCGACCATTTAGGAAACATCTCACTGCAGAGTTTCTGTCTTCCTGGAGGGTGAGCAGCCAGGAGAGGGAAATTGGATGTCTCTGCTTTGTGAGTCTAGCACTGGACCGAAATCTTCTCTACGCTGAATGCATGTAGAGTTGGCGGCAAGTGTCCGCACCCTCCCCAAGGGACTGGCTCGGTTCTGTGTCACGTTTGAGTGCCCCCAGGGATGTTTCTTGGGGGTTTTATCTCGGGACACCCCAACCTCCTGTGCAGGAGCAGAGCAGCGTGGTCACGTGGCTCTATGAGCGTGCGTGTACAATTTTAATGACCTAGAATTGGCCGTCATGTCTTGAGTAGCTTCACTGTACTGCAAACCACCTCATCTGTCCTCATTATTGATCCCCCGGGCTGTTTTGGTATAAACAACCCACCTGACCTCCCTCCCTCCCTTTGCCTTTCCAGGAGGGAGACTCGCTGGGGACCATGGAAAAGCTCTGCAGACAGCTGACCTACCACCTCAGTCCACATTCGCAGTGGAGACGCCAGGGCATCATGAAGAGGAAGCCTCAGTCCTGGTGAGTCAGCTGCCAAAGGCTGCCAGCTGCCTGCGCGCACCATTTGTTTGTCCCCTGCTCTGTGCCTTCGGGGTCATTGAGGGGTTGGACGGGAAGGAGGTTGTTCCTGCTGCAGAGATCTGAGTCTACAGGTACATGGCTGTGAGCCAGCCACTGTGGGCCAGGCATCATTCATTGCAGTCAAATGTCGGCTCATCTCAGCTGTGTTTCCAGCATTTGGCAACACTGCTCTGCCAGTCAGCTGGGCGCCAGGGTGGATTCGATTTAAATCACAGTTTAAATCACTGGTCAGGAAGCCTCAATTTAATCACTGTTTTCTACAAAAAGTGCATTCTTGTTGTTGGATATAACCTTTGTTCGAGGCTACGGAAATAGGCTTCAGGGTAGCCAGCATACCTTCTACATTTCTCTTTAGCCCAATGGTGAGCACTTTGGCTATGACAATTCCATCTGTTTTGGCACAATTTTGTTAACAAATTGTCATCAGCTTAGGCCAGTTCTCAGTATATCGCTCAAAGTAGTCCACTCCTGAGTGCCATTGATCGTCTTGTGGGAAAGTCAGTTTGGTTCCTCCTGCTTTCTTCAGAGCAGCAGCTGCTGCAAAGTGGTTGTTACAGAAGTATTTTGCAATTTCAACAAAATTCTGCGCAAAATGTTTCTCTTTTGTTTCTATGGCTCCTCTTTCCTTGTGTTTATCTCCAAACACCTCCTCCTTGCCCAGATCTACTCCACCCCAACAATGCTCTATTTATTTAACTTCTTGAAACTTTGCACTTTTAGAGAGAGGTAAGCGCTTGACTCTGGGTACACGTAACTTGCAGAGACAATAGGGCTGATGGGCAGATATTCAAGTGTATTATCTCCATATACTGCTGTTAACAAGGATGTTATCTCTGGGAACACGAATCCGCAGCTTGAGACCTGAAACTAAGCATCGTAGAGATGCTTAATGGGATCTTAGACTGACCACTGAGTCCCATTGGGTAGAGTAGTTTTCTTTCATCTTTACTAATCTATAGAGGATCCCCATACGATTGGGTCCCAAATATAGTCCATGGCCTGTTGTGACCTATTTATAAAACTTTCCTAAAATGTTAAATGAATATATTGTCTCCAATAGTATGTAATTAGAAGTTATAATCCTTATTCCACGATGATATCTTTGAGCTTTAACATATCTCAAATTAAAGCTATCTTTATATAGGTTTATTTTTTAAAATAAAGCATCTTAACAAAAAAGCATTTTTTTTAATTAACCTCTGATTTAAATAAAAAAATCGGATTTTTAATGTTTTTTAAATTAATTTTTATCCACCCTGCAACAGGCACAGGGATTTCACTTCATATGCACAAGGGCTCCTGTACTACTGAGTAGCTCTCACATGTTATAAACATCATAGCTGAGTACCTATTGCTATTGGACTGAGCTGGGGGTTGCAGAACATCTTCCTTGCCAGTGGGCATGACCCTGCTGTAGAGTATAGAGTGTGCATGCAAATGCCAAGTAAGGGGGAGGGGGAGCTTGTGGTAGCCTGATCCTGAATTAAGGAGAGGGCTGGCCATCAGGTTGCTCTTGCCTAGTAATAGTGAAGAGCATGGGCAACAAGGGCTTTTTTAACATGATGAGGCTTATGCTTATATACCTGGATCATGTGTGTATCAGCAAGCAAGTTGAGGTACCAACTGCAGTCTAGCTGCATCAAGACAGAGAAGCAGGGTACGGTAGCCTGGAGCACAGTCTCTATCTCTTTATTGCCCCTGATGGAGTTTGCTTGGGTATCTGGGCCTGGCACTGCCCCGAGCTGCGCAGGTGGAGAGCCCTTGGCACAGCAGACTGCCCACCGTTTACCAGACTTGGCAGAAAGGCTGGGAGCAGCTCTGCACCAGCCTTTCTCAGAGCACTTGCTGCCTTGCCAAACTGCTTTTCATACCTTGTTTTACATGTGCCACGACCTGGAAGCAGGGCTTAACTGCAGATATGAAGATGGGCACTGGTCTTTGTAATGCTAGGTCGACCTTGCAGCATTAAATGGCTGTGTCGCACATTCACTTGCAACAATTGGGACTCGTTGGCCTGTTGTACTGCATTAAAGTTCATTTGTGTTGGAAGAGAGCCCTGGTCTGAAAGGGAACAACATCATAATGCCAGGAGAGCACTTCATACAAGCTCAGCTTTTGAACGTGCATCTGCTTGCGTTTTAACTGAACTTAGCAAGTGTTAAATTGAACATGTAACGCTACAAGCTGTATAGCAGTTGTGTTTGGGGCTATCGTTGCTTTTTTGGTTTATTTTTTTAGCGGGAAGGCCTGTTGGCTTGGGATTTTTGACTGGCTTAAGGACCTAACCGCGAAAGGGAGTGCAGTCGAAGCTGAGTATATACTTACCACCTTGAGACTCTTCTTGATTAAGTCAATGTTACTTCCTTAAGACTGATTGCTCGGATTAAGTCAATGTTTGTGAAAGAGGTCCCTTTCTGAAATCCTTTGCCTTCTCTCCATGTGCTGAATGTCAGGGAAGGCTGCACAAAAAGTCCACAGATGGGTAGATCCTCAGCTGAGAAACCGAGCCCATTATGTTCCCCATCAAAATGAACAGTTCAACATGCAGTTGGATAATCAGTGACAACAGCACTAATGAATTGGTACAGGAGAGGCTTGCTAATTAGGCATTTACTATGGAATGAGCACAGCAGTTGTTTTGTTGACACAGGTCTCAGCTTTGTGGGTATTTTGCACATGGGGAATTGTGGGCTAAAAGTGGCAATGGAGAAGGGAAGGAAAACACCTAATTAAAAGCAACCATCTTAAAGAGAAAATAAAAGAGCATCCCAGGTCCTTCAGCCCGCACTGTTGCTGTGTGTGTGTCACCTCCAGAGCCCAGAAGCGCATGGCTAAAGCAGCATGGTCAGAAACCGGAAAGGTCAGCTGTCCGACTAGCACTGATGTGGAGCCTCCAGTAAGGTCAGTTTTGCTGCGCTTGCCGTCCCAAGGCCATTGAAGGTTGGTTGGTTGCTGGTTCCTCCGCTGTTGTTGCAAGTTAAGGTGTTTCTTAACTAAATTAGAAGCCCGGCATGTCACTGAATTGGTCAGCACAAAGGTCTGGTTCAGTTAATCTGTTGCTAGAGTACCCCAGGATGGCACTGGCTTGAACATGTAAGTGGTACTTGGGGGTGTTACTGAGGGGTGTCTGCCCTGGAGGTAAATGGACCTCACAATTTTATCCATATCGACATGTGTGCAAGTTGCATGATTTAACGGTTATATGTGCACATTCCTAAGTGTGGCAGAACGATTTAACTTCAAGCCCTGTTTCACTCAGGGTTAAATCACGATTTCAGGAACGTGTACTGCTGTAAAAGCAGGCAGGCATAACAGTTGCATCGTAATGGCTGATTTAGGCTCCTGAGTGGGAACTCCTCCTCCCCTTTTGAAGTCGGGTCCGGGAACTCCTGTAGTTGTTGGAGTATTGTACAGGAGCTTGCTGCCCAGGTGGTTTGAGCACTAGAGCAGATGCTGGTCATGGACAGGAGCAGTACCATGTGGAAAGGACAGGGTGCTGGGATGAAGGCGCAAGGATTTGCCTGATTTGAGCCTGGTGTGCTAACTGGGCAGAGGACCTGGTAAGTGAAGTTTTTCCTCCGCTAGAGCCACTGGCTAGCAGTTGAACCTCCAAATATGAACTTCTGGGATTCCTTACAGGGTGCTACACTGGTTTAGAGACAGGTTGTATATGCACAGGTTGTTCATTTATTGCTGGCGCCATCCCATGATGTATTCAGGCCACTTGGTTTCAATAGTGCTGCGTGCTTTGCAGGGGCAACGACGGCGCTGCATTTCCGAGGTCCTACTGCCCCTATTCCCTAGACTCCAGGGTTTCTTGCTAATGCTGTGAAGAGAGCGGTAGCAATGCCTCAGACTGACAGACGGCGTTACCTGAACTTCTGCACAACTATCGCTCGGGCGTTGTCAAGCCTGTTTGTTTTGCATCCATTGCATGGAGGGGGCTCCTGCTCAGAGACCAGCTCTGCTCATTGCAGACAAGAGCAGGGTGGACACCCACCCCAGCTGCATGCTGTAGGTCGCACCCAGGGGTGTTCTCAGTGTGTGGGCCCAGGATAGGAAGTGGAGAGCTCGGTTGTTGGTTTACCCTAATTTCCCCCCCTAATTAGACTAGGAAGCAGCCACCTCTTGTTATCCCATTAGGGCGTACTGTAATTAAAATTATTCTGTGGCAGCGGGGAGCTCTTCAGAGCCGAAGAGACCGACGAAACCCTCTGAAACAGGCATTTACCGAGCTGGTTTTGTGCCTCTCTCTGTCTTTAATTTACTAGTCCCCTGTCTTCAGTTATCGTGTGTGCATTGTGTGTGTGCATGCCTGAGAACTAGCAGGCTTCATCTCCCAACCCTGTCATCATGTTTTACTTTCTCTTTTGGAAGAGGAAAGAAATAGCTGAGAGTTTTGACTGTCTTAATGGCTCAGAGTCATAAAAAGTCAAGCTATGACCACATGATAGCAACCCTGAGGCTGTGATGGCTGTAAGCATTGGACTTTATTGGGCATGCAGTTGTTAGCTTGTTCTGGGATTTTTTCTTTAAATGCACGTTGATGTATCCGATCGTAGTTCCGTTTTAGGGCGTGATTCAGGAAAGCACTCAGGCAAATACATAAATCCATCCTTATTCAGCAGTTCCAGTCTCTTGGCTTGCAGTGGGATTTAAGAATAGACTTGAAGCTAAGCAATTGTCAAAAATGCTTTGCTGGATAAGAAATAGTTTCCCTGAGTGAGGTCCCTTCAGACTGAATCAATTATGTCCCACGAAGAAGGCCAGAAACTGTGCATAAGTCTGAAAAACAAAATATATTGTTTCCCATTGACTTCGAGGAGCTAGATGTGCAGCATATTGAAACCTGTCTTAGGTAAAGGGCTGCGATTGATCACGACTAATTAATAGTAAATAGCAAGGAAAATCCATTAAGCTATTATGAGCATGAATTCCTA